ATGTTATCACAGTAACGAGTTATTTAAATAACTTCTTATCTCCATTAAGTTATTTGTGTGGAAATTGTTTAGAGTGAAGTTTGTCTCGTTATATATTACTGGTAGAGTGTTCCTGTACCAACGCTCTTTTTCTGTTTGTAAAGCAAGCTATTGCAGGTCAAAGCTATATTGTGCAATCACAAATCAATCATTTGTAAATTTATAATGATATCATAATATCAAACAGCACTTTCAACAATCAGAGAGCGAGTTACAGCTGATAGAATAAGATTTATGATAAGTAATAGTCGAGGTACAGATTTCTTCTTCATTTACACAGCTACAGATGTTAAACCGTTTCTGGAAATTTTCTTCGTATTGATTTAATGAATAAATCTTCACTCTTACCAGCTAATACCATCACATTTCCCACATTTTAAAGCAACTTGTGAGATGCACTTATCGTAGTTTCACAATCAGTTGCCACAACAATAGCCTCAGTTTGATCATCATATATTCTTTCATTAAGATGATATTTGAAGTACAAAAGTTTTTCTTCACCAATAACTTGAAATGAGCGGTTTTTTATTGTCCCAATTGTTCCATGTTTTCATCACTATCATTATACTCAACATGCTTATCTTCAAATCTTCTCATATAAGGCTTGTTTTGTATAATTGGAAATCTTTCAATATGACGCTTTTGGATTCTAGGAACTTAAACAGAAGAAGTTCACTGTTCTGAAATACTTTCTGAAGACAAGATAAATGATGAAGTATATCCATTATTTGAAAAGTTAATTTAAACTGTTGGCCAGATTGGTTCCACGATTTAAGAAATCCTTCACCTTCCCCCCCTTTTTCGATTATTCGTTCTTCCGACGAAGACTCCGTAGATTATTTCCATGCAAATCTTCCTTCTTGTGGATTTACAGAGTTTTTGTGCCTAACTTTCTCCACGTTTTTTACCTTTACACACTTGGTTCGAACAATGATAAGCTGGAAGTACACAACAGTTTCTCTGATTTGACTGTAACAACGTTTTAACTCTGTAGCACTTCAGATTGTGTCATGGAAAGCGAGATTAGATCTGTCACAGATATACTGTTGCGTCAGCGAGATCACGTGACTATTCTCACGCCCTCTGCTTTCTAAAACTATTCTGTACCTTGGCGAATGCTCTAGCGTTTACTAGATATAGGGTAGTCTGGTATATAAAAGAGGGTGAAAACGTGACGGGATATATGTGTGTGTAGACAGTGAGTAATTGATCTGCAGTCAGAGAGTATTATTGAGCCCGTTC